CCTTATTCTATTTATATATTGTGTTTTTAGTATTATATATTGTGTTTGATAAATGTGCTCTATAAATAAATCTTTGACTTGACTTGACTTGAAAAAAAAAAGAAAAGGCCCCAAGCCCTGGTTAATTTCCATCATGACAAACCAATTAACTAATATAAATAATATTAATAAAAAAGTCATCACAAAAATTCAAGGGAAAACAAACTTTATTCTCTCCTTTTTACAAAACGTTTGGAAGTTTAACCTAACCTCAGCGGTAATTTGAATCTAATATAGACCTGCAAGCAGCAAATTGTCCAACATAAAATAATTACTCTGTTACATTTTTTCCCAAACAGAATCGTTTACAGAAGCACAGACAGGTAGAGGGCTTTTTTTGTTTGTTTGCTGGCTGCTCTAGTACAATGAAAAAACTGCATGACCAACAAAATGAATGCAATGATTTCAGATGTGCACAGTGTGAATTAATGCGTATTAAAATGATGAGTGCAAATTACCACATGATTTGCATGAGAGCAACATCATGTGAATATCATGAGGTCGGGCTGAGATGACACATGAAAAAATACAAAAGCCGTTTGTAATGGCATACTGAGTTTTCCACCAAACAGTTAATCATTTTCGACACGTCATAACAATAGTAATAAAAAATAACAAAAGCCTGAAGCATTCTGCCACTGAGAAATGTCAAAGTTACGCATGCGGCTGTCTGAATATTAATATGCATCTGTACAGTGATCTAGAGTACAGCACATTATGAACTAAACATAACATCAAATAAAACATTCCATACATGTATCACAAGACATAGCCTTGTGTAAACATACAATCTAACTTAATGTTTAACAGAGTCTAAGACACTTACACAAATATTACATTTCAAAGCAGTGCAAAACATGGTAAATGTGATGACAAGAAACTGAACGCTGAATCTAAAACACCAACAGAATGTGCTGAATAATTCCAGATAAATTAGCTATTTTAAAGGAACAGTATGACATCATTTACGGCCATGTGCACGGATGGCTCAGCATGACCATGTGCATACCTTTACTAGTCCAATATTATAAAAATTCTGTGCTCATAACAGACATTAAATCATACAATGTCAGATTTTGGTGTAAATGATTTCTTGGGTGCATATCTGTGATTTGGCTGCAGTGATACTGCTTAACAGATACCAAATAGAAATATATAAATATATATCTTTATAACTTAAATGCTTTGCAAATGCACGGTTTTGCACCTGATTAAATAAAAAAGAATGCATTTTTTAATAGAAGCTTGTTTTCACCATGGAATAAAACATAAAAAGGTAATTGTGACTTTAATCTCACAATTCAGATTTTTTTCTTGCAATATAAATGATATAAACTCAGTATTCTGACTTTTTGTCTCGCAATTCTGACTTCTTTTTCTCTGAATTTTGATTTTACATCTCATAATTCTGCCTTTTTCCCCTCTGAATTCTGAGTTTAAATCTCACAATTCTGACTTTTCTTCTCAGAAGAGTTCAAATTCTGATTTTATATCGCACAAGCCTGAGAAAAAAAGTCAAAATTATGAGAAATAAACTCAAAACTGTGATGGAAATTGTGAGATAAAAAGCTGCCATTACCTTTTTTATTTATTTATTTTTATCCCTTTACAGAAACACGCTTCCATAATTTCCTGTAATAAGACTGTGAAAGAAAATAGTTTATTTTAGTGCATGATTACATATTCTCATGTAAAAACCATGCAACTGGAAAATGGCAAGAAAGGTAAGATTGAATAATGAATCACGTTGAAGCAGTTACATTCAACTTTCAGCCTCAATACCACATTTTACACATTTAAATGTGGAGGATGAAATACACACTGATTGCTGACTGAAAAAGTTCAGATTTGGATAAAAGGGGAACTCAACATGACCTCAGCTTCGTCGCAATCTTCAGGAAAAATTGGGAAACGCTCAGAGCATAATCAGAGGGCTTCAGTACTGGAAATTAATTGCTTAACTATAGCAACACAACACTGACAGTTTTGTTGGGGTGAGAATTGAAGTGTGTAATTTCTGCGCCACTAGCGGCAACGAACAAAATTGCAAAACTAATGACTTCAGTCATTCCCCTGTCTGTCTGAATGGAAGTCAAAGGATGAAATGCCTGAGTACACTGACTAAACAGGCTTTGTTTGGAAACATAACAAATGGAGTGCCTTGCTGCTAATCTTCAACATGCATGGCATGACACATTAATTTTAGAGGGAAGGTAACTCATTTTTTGGTAGCATCTCAAATATACAAGCCACAAGAATTTCTCCACAGGTATTTACAATACAACAGATAGGATATACGGCACTACACATTCATTTTTAAGGTCTCCAGACTTGAAAAGCACTTCAGTGCCATCAGGTCTTAATTATAATTGCGTTATGAGATGCATGTACCGCACCGACCCAGAGCATCTTCACATTTATTTCAACATCTCATGCCAGTCAGGCCGCTTAAAGAAACATACCTTTATTTTAAGGTCCAATTCTTGCTATTAACAAACCATTAACTATGACTTTTGCCTCAATAAACTCCAAGTTTGCTGCTTATTAATAGTAAGGTAGTTGTTAAGTTTAGGTATTGGGTAGGATTAGGGATGTAGAATATGGTCATGCAGAATATGTGCTTTATACGTATTAATAAATAGCCAATATGTTAATAATAGGCATGCTAATAAGCAACTAGTTAATAGTGAGAATTGGTCTGTATACTAAAGTGTTACCAGATCGTTTTGTGCCGCAGAAATTACACAATCTTCTTCTTCAAAAAAAAAAAAACATAGCTGTATGATCAGGGATGAAATTATTATTGAAGGTGCCAACAGCTGGATAAAATAATGGGAAAGAATCTGTATGCATCTTTAATGGTGTACACAGTCTGTCTTAATAATAATTAATCACAGCATAACATGCAACATAAATAGTTTAAAGTCGTGAGAAAAATATTATTAGAGCTGATCAGTAAGGCTACATCAGCAGGAGGAGACACACTCGAGAATCATGGGTACCAGTAATAATAATAAAAACAAACAAGTGGCCTTAACTGAAGCTAAACAACTGTTATAAAGAAACAATCATGTTTAAGAGCAGACCAGGGTGCTAAATCTGCCAACACTTTTGAAAGACTGGCCGAAACCCATGAACATTCCAGAGCCCGAGAAACACATGATCCTGAATTATCATTGAAGAGTGGCCTAGGAGAAAATAACAAAGCACTCTGTTATACTGGCATGTAGCAAAAATACGACTGTGCGTGCGCTTGTTTCGAAAGCTGTCAGTGGAGAACGACCTCTTAGTCTTGTCTGAGGCAGGCAGAGCTTGTGCATGTCTTTTCGGTTCGACTGACAAATATGGTTTTGGAGAGCAATATGGAAAACACTGTCAGAATGAAGTTTGTAGATGGATGCATGAGGGCAGGGTCCAAAATGAACACTCACCAACTGCCAAGTGTGAGTAAAAATTGATTGAAATTGAATAAGTTTGTAATATGAAATCGGGGCCTCATATTTAAAGACGTGCATAATGATTGTAAATGTGAACGTAAGACAATTTCCAAAATGTTCCTATGACCGATTTATAAAATGTCCATACACACAAAACATTTTCCTAAAGACATGTAGCTACAGCTGCTCAAGCGCGGAGAGGGTGGAAAAATGCTAATACGGGACAGTCCATCAGTGGTTGTGGGCGGGGTTTTTGAGACAAAAAAAAGTGAATGGACTTTTATCATTGTAGGGTGGTTGTATCCACACACCGCTAAGACACATTATATGCAAACACCATGTAAAACTGAATTTTGCATCCGATGTCCCCTTTGATGTTTGCAGCACAGTATTTGAAGGCTTAAAAATGGTGGTTATTGCCGTCAGTTATGGCTTGTTAGAGCTAGCTTTCTGCCCTCTTGAAATCTGGCACATATGAAGTAGTGCAGCAAGATCACATTTATTTGAATGAATTATAGCAGTTATTTGAATTAATTATCAATTAGAGAAAGAGAGAGGTGAAAATTGCATTTGTAAACTACCTGCATCTGTGCGTCTCTCTCTACAAACAGTGTAGTTGTGTTTAGTTACTTCAAAAACAGTGATTTTACCTCGTTGCTGAGAAGCATAATATAGCTAATCAGCATCTAAGTTATTTTATTAATAAAAGTTGGGGCAGCGTTGACGAGATGTTTCTGTGCTCCTGAATGTTTCTGTGTGCACAGCACGATCTCTGTGTGAGAGCGATGCATGTGTGTGTGTGTGTGTGTGTGTGTGTGTCAATGTTGAAACAATAATTATTTTATTTACTGGAATATATATGAGTGCAAAAAGTTTGTATGCATGCTCTGGCATACGCATAAAAACATTTTCCCGTCAGTTTTTGCCTTTATAAATGCCGATTTGTTGCTCACGTTTGACATAGGATGAAATCCATGGAATTTAGGATCAAATCTAATCGTAAGTACGTTTTACAAACAAGACCCTGGTGCGAATCCTAAAAATAAAAACATTTCCACATTCGTTTTTGCCTTTTTAAATCCTGATTTGTTCCTCATGTTTGACTTAGGATAAAATCCAAGGAATTTAGGATCAAATCCGATCGTAAGCACATTTTAAAAATGAGGCCCGTGGTGCAGATCCCAAAAATGGTGGGAAAATGTTAATCCAAAATGTGGAAAAAAGTTCATTTTGGACCCCTCGTGAGAATTTACCATACTCACAGAGAAAGCGTATGGTAGAGGAGCATGGGGCGGATTTCATTATCAGCACATCTGTATTCACTTCCAAAGGAATAAAGCCCCTGTATTTTTCATAATACTGCAAAAACATGTTGCATATAAAAATAGTCTATAAATAATTCTGCTGTAATAGATTAAATTAATTAAACTTAGATTGTAGGCTGAATTGAAATGTCTCAGCATGCAGTAAAGCTGTGAGCATGGCTTATACATTCTCATATTGTTTGTTTTCACACTGATTTTCTTCTTCCTCTCGGTTCTGAAAGTGAATACAAGAAGCTAATAATGGATTCTCTGTGTTACTCCGCTTGCCACAATGACAGATGCAAACAAATTGTACAGGCGTGGTGCAAACATTCCAACTCCATCAGTTGGTTTCATTATTCATGTATGAGATGCACTGTTGTAAGGTACCCAGTGAGCAAAGCCCTGGAGCAAAGCACAGGACCACTGCTTTTAAAATTACAAACTCAATCTAACCTAATGAAAGATTGGAAAGTGGAGGATTTCATTGGCTTTGCTGTACCACACCACAGAATACGGACCAGAAAATGTGAATTCACAGTGAAAGCTATGGCAAAACAGGACATGAGGTACTAGAGAGTCAAAAAAAAGTAAAGTGTCTTTTAAAATAATTATAAGGTAATAATTAAAGGACCATCAGGAGCACAACAAAGGCTGAGTAGGAGGAACATCAAACTGAGATTTTAAATATGTGCACATTATAGAATAGAAATTAGTCAGAATTACTGAAAATACAGGACAGCAAAAGTGCAGAGATAAAACAAACTAGGTGCAATGCCATTGGCTCAAGGGTCATGTGATGCAGTGAAGGATCATGGGTAGAAATTAGAGAGTGCCCATTCCAGTGACCTCAGACGTCAGCCTAGAATAGTTAAGGGAAGAGGAAAAAGGGAAGGGGTAAGGAAAAGATAGAAAAAAAATAGATAACATAAAATAATTCTGAAAGCATTTGACACTTCTGTACAAGAATGATAGCTTTTTCCGTCTTGTTGCTCTCCACGTCGAGTAATAAGCATGCATTACTGTCGATTCGGTTAAGCTGAAAACAATCAAGCTCCTGTCAAATGTAAAAATAAAATCTTTTCCGCTTCTAAAGAAACAGTTTCCAACATCTCCTCGATTCTGACATGCGTTTGTACTTCATTGCAACATCTGCATCACATCACTAGCTCCTTGCCAACAGCATTGCTAGAAAATGCTATTGGATGCAATTTTTTTTTTAATCTTTGCCGTCAAACTACAAGAATTATTATGCAGCAACCACACTGAACTAATCTAACTAATTTCAAATAATAAATAAATATATAACAAGACCCAAGCATTCAGCATGCTAAAATACTATACTAAAACACTGCATAACATGAAGGCCTGCCTTTTTTTTTTTTTTTCAGTAGTCTGCCTACATGAATGTAGCTATTGATGAAGTTGACCATGGGGTTTAAGGGTAAGGTTGGTGAGTTCTAAGGGAAGATTATATATATAACGTTTACTGGGAATCAGCTGCTGATCGCTTCAGATAATGAAAGCAGTTTGGGGCTTCAGGATGTAGTCATTGATGAGGGGTCATTCCACATGGCGGCCACGTCTCTGAACCTGCCATCAGAACCGTGGGAAAGCAATATGCATTAGTATCGCCCCAGCCGCTACCCTGCAAGCCTCAATATCACACACAGGAACAGATTTAGAGCGCCTAAACATCTTTGATTCCCCAAACACACTGCTCTGTACACAGTGTGAAGATCCTTTCTGAGCTGCTTTTAAAAAACTGCAAAAATAGTGGCGTGTTCCTTTAAGCAAGGCACCGATCCCCCAAATGCGCCCCGGTCGCCGCAACCATGTCAAAAAGGAATGCATTTATTTCTTTATTTTTAATTTGGAAGGGATTCAAAGAATTGAAGAATCAAATAAGATCCAACTGGATAAACCAAAGATGGAAACTTGAAAGATGGAAGTCTGAAACATGGAAACAAGTCGCACTTACACTACAGTTCAAAAGCTTTTTTTAAAAGAAAAAATTACACTTCTATTCAGCAAAGTTGCATTAAATTGATCAAAAGTGATGGTAAAGACTTTAACATTATTTCAAACAATCAATCAATCAATAAATGCTGTTCTTTTGAACTTTCTATTCATCAAAGAATCCTGAGCAACACAACTTTTTTCAACATTGATAATAATAAGAAACGTTTCTAGACCAAATTAGCGATTTAGAATGATGCGGTCATTCCACATGGCGGCCACGTCTCTGAACCTGCCATCAGAACCGTGGGAAAGCAATATGCATTAGTATCGCCCCAGCCGCTACCCTGCAAGCCTCAATATCACACACAGGAACAGATTTAGAGCGCCTAAACATCTTTGATTCCCCAAACACACTGCTCTGTACACAGTGTGAAGATCCTTTCTGAGCTGCTTTTAAAAAACTGTATTGAGTTGGAACACCATAAAAAAAAGCTACATTACTGCAGTTTGGAAGAAAATGGCAACACTTTTGTGGAACAGTGATGGGCTCACCTTGCGTTGATGAGGTACTGGGCAAGGCTGATGTTGGCGGGGGTTCCTGTAATGGTGATCTGGCGCTCTGATGACCCTTCCATGGCATTAGCTATTTTGATTTGCGCTCCAGACATCTGACGGATCTCGTTGATCTTGGTTCCCTGGCGCCCGATTATACAGCCTATTAGCTGGGAAGAAAGTGCAAAGGTACTTAAAGGACTGTCAAAAAGAAAACACAGAGGGGCAGTTGTGGCCTAATGGTTAGAGAGTCGGACTTGTAACCCAAGGGTTGCCTATTGAAAATAGACTAATTTTCCAAATCCCCTAGAGTTAAACAGTTGAATTTTACCATTTTCTAATCCATTCAGCCGATGTCCGGGTCTGGCGGTAGCACTTTTAGCTGCAGCTTAGCATAGATCATTGAATCTGATTAGACCATTAGCATCTCTTTTTAATTTGGAAGGGATTCAAAGAATTGAAGAATCAAATAAGATCCAACTGGATAAACCAAAGATGGAAACTTGAAAGATGGAAGTCTGAAACATGGAAACAAGTCGCACTTACACTACAGTTCAAAAGCTTTTTTTAAAAGAAAAAATTACACTTCTATTCAGCAAAGTTGCATTAAATTGATCAAAAGTGATGGTAAAGACTTTAACATTATTTCAAACAATCAATCAATCAATAAATGCTGTTCTTTTGAACTTTCTATTCATCAAAGAATCCTGAGCAACACAACTTTTTTCAACATTGATAATAATAAGAAACGTTTCTAGACCAAATTAGCGATTTAGAATGATGCCTGAAGGATCATGTGACACTGAACTGACTGGAGTAATGACTGCTGAAAATTCAGCTTTTCCATCAAATAAATAAGTTACAAATTAATAAATTTAAATTGTATTTAAATTTAATACAAATTAATTAATTTAAAAATAAAAATAGAAAAAAGTTTAGAAATAGAATATATTCTTTTAATAAAAAAAATATTATTAAAATAGAGAAAAACTCCTTTCAAAAAGAAAAAAATTAAAAAATCTTACCAACCCCAAACTTTTGAATAGTAGTGTACATCACAAAATAGACTTGAGACATGTGGCTCCAAATTAGAGACTTGTGAACAACAAAAATAAATAAATAAAATGATAAGGTTTTAAGATAAACCTGTAGGGTTAATTTCAATTATTTTCTAAATGGATTTGTAGACTTTGATTTGTGATTGACTTTGATTTGTTCTTAAAAAACCCTGACTTGGACTCTACATCAGACATATATTCTCAAATAACTAAAATGTATTTCTGACAGGGGACTGAGTCAAAACGGAACGTCAATCTTTATACTCACATCATTGGGAATGGTGAGTTCATGAGTACTGGCCGGGGGACTGGCATCCAGACCTGAATGAGAGAGCAGAGGGAAGCTCGAGAGCAGCCTAGGATAAACAACACTGCATACACATGCTGGAAACACGCTTAGAAGACTGGTGGCCTTAATGGACCAAGTGCAGAGTGCCAGGAACTCTTAGTCCTCCTGAGGCTTTTTATGGAGGCCTTTTTTCACCTTAAACTAACATAAATAACTCTAGCGGCTCTCACATCTTGGCTTGTGTCAAGGCGAACTTTCCTACAGTATATCCTTGGTCTAACACAAACATACTGTATATTAGATATATGTTAGATATATGTGTGAATAGCAAAGCATGCTCTACGCAGCACACGCCATTTGGTTTGCCCTTAGTAATAGCTTTAAACTGAGCTTGTATAAGACAGTGTTTATAAAAATGAATACGTAATGAATGGCTTGATGGAAGATGTGTTGTGGTCTGTAAAATCAAAACACTGATATGCTTCTCTTACGCCAGTTTCTGAAGGGCAGGAAAGAACACATTTTGTGGCATTGGTAATTCCTTTCGAGCATAAAATTCTTCACCATTAGTCCCCTGTATGTGACAATGTTGCATAAGAAGGAAAACTTCACTATCTTTTAACCCAGGTCTTAGCAGTACAGGATTAGCGCTTCATAAAAAGTTGACAAAAAAAAAAAAAAAAGGGAGAAAAAAAAATGCAAGGGGGGGTT